TATAGGCATGTGACTTAGGGTGGGCAGATATTCCAAAACTCACGATCTCTTAATTTACTTAAAAATTGGCCAATCCTGTAATTTGTTTTCTGTTCCAAGGGTAAATTAAAAAAATTATTGGTAGGTTGTCTAGGCTCTTAATAGGGCAGTTTGAACAGGGGCTTTCACCAGGAAAGAGAACTGAGAGAACAACAGACTTCATGCTCTGAGCACCCTTTACCGAATCCATGAACATCAGAATCTCACTCATCTTTCGGCACTTAACTTTTGTTTGCCACCACTTTCATTTGAAGGTCTTTCTTATTTTTATTTTTCTGAAGCTCAGTATACATTCAAGTGGGGAGGACTCAAATGTTTTCCCTACTAAGTTGCTTGAGCTTTAGAAAGTTGATAATCTTCGATTATTTAGATTTGTGTGAAAACTATTTTCCAGCTAGGAAGGGGGAGAATAAGGGAGAATAATGCAAGTAAAAGCAAAGCATATGAAATGGTTGAATACCTAAAGTGTAGCTCCTGGCTTATCCTTTGTAGGAAGGGTGAGACATGGTTGCCTTCTTGGGAGCTTTTGGAATATAGTTAAGGTGGTAAAGCATAAATACTGCTGGGAGAGAATGGGTAACTTTAATAAAAACGTTCCTGGACAGAAGAAGATTAATTAGTAAAAGTGGGGGCTAGGGGACTGGAAGGGTCTAGGAGATGTTTCATGAGGAAAATTTATTTAGTTTCAAAAGTGAAGCTGGTTTTGGTTGGGGTGGAGGGATGCCAAGGTGAGGGAGGGAAAGCAGTGCTCAGTCTGGAACTGGCAGTAGAGGTTGGGTGTTAGTAGGTCTGCTGGCGATTATTGGCTGGAAAGAAACATTAAAGCCAGATCGGTGACAGGATTTTTGTGACACTAGGAAGAGTGTTTATCAGACTCATGTTAGACATTGCTATTTTTGAATGTTAGAACTAAAACTTCTTTTTTAATTGCTGGACTAAAGTGTTCTGAATATTTAGGGTTTTTACAACTAGACTCCTTATTTTACTGTTTTCAAAAATCACTATATTTTAGCCCAGCCGGCATGGCTCGGTGGTTGAGCATCGACTTATGAACCAGGAGGTCACATTTGATTTCCCGGTAGGGCACATGCCCAGATTGTGGGCTCGATCCCCAGTGTGGGGTGTGCAGGAGGTAGCTGATCAGTGATTCATCATTGATGTTTCTCTCTTTCTCTTCTCCCTTCCTCTCTGAAATAAAAAATATATATATTTTTAAAATCACTGTATCTTTAAAAAGAAGGAAGAATGAGTAAGAACTCAATGTATATATCAAGACAAAGAATGATGTAAGTAGTAGTTTAGAACATCCTTGGTCCAAGATTGAGTCATTTGGACACCTAAGCAGGATTTGGACACTTGGTCCTTCCTGTTGAGTTGTCAGTAGTTATGAGCATTGTTGGTGGTATAAAAGTGTTCTTTATTTGACAGATTTCCAATGTGGGACTTCGTGTGAGTGATAGTTTAATTCATGGCTAACTGCTAGCTTGCAGAATTTTGCACTTTTGGATAAAGCTGTTCTGTGTGAGAGGCATTTTGTGGATGAAGTATAGTTAGTTGCTCACAATATATGCTTCCACTTCTCTTGTTCTCATGACCTTCTGATACCACTGAACTTGATATTTTCAGGAAGTATTTAATGAGCACCTAACCTGCTATATACCAGCCTCTTCTTTCACTCTGAGGATCAGCCTATTTCATAAAAGTTTTTTCACTTTCAATACTTCCCACCTGTATGGTGCAAATTCATGTGCCCTTTCTGTGCTGACCATGCCATTTCACAACCTCAACTTTTTTTTTTTTTTTTGCTTCAAATGGTTTACGGGTATTTCTGTATCAGCAGGTTTACAGGAGGGGTAGGAATACAGAGCACTACACTCAGAAATTTATATTCAAGGGGTTTCCAGAGTGGCATTGGGGGTGGTGGTGAGTAGACTGTAACTCCTCCATCTCCATATTTCTTTCCCCCACCCTTAACATTGACTGTACAACATGTCTGAAGACTTCCGATTAAGGAATGAGAGAACCCTTGAATGAAAACGTAAACCCTGGTTGATGGTCCAGAGCCTCTCGTGAACTTGAAATAAGTGTTAGCCTGAACTTCTAATTAACTATCTCCCATGTAATTCATGGCTATTGAAATATCCCTTACTTTTATTGCTAGTGATCTGACTCATGAGTATAGCCAGGGATAGGGTAATTCCTAACCCTAGGATAGAATTTGCCCTTTCCAGTTAACTCTATGCCCAATCCCATACTATCTCTAACTACTTCAAAATTTCTCCTAACCTGAGCTAGGCTTTTATTCTACAGAACCGATTATGGGAAATATCCCCATCTGTTCTTTTTAAAAACTCTCTGCTGTTTTGGATACATGAAATTAGGGCTCCTCTCAGACAACCATGTCCATTGTGGGCAAGTCTGGGATTACACTTTCCAGTGGCCTACTTTAAATAGAAGACCAGTTAAAAATCTATTAGCTGCTCCAGACATTGGAGAGCCCAGAATCCTGAGTTAAAGAGTCCTGTAGTGATTTGAGATCTCAGAAAGAAAGTGATTAGAATAATTGGGATCGGGTGAGTTGACTCAACTCAAGAACCAGGATCTGCTTGCATAGCCAGTTTGGTCTCAAGGACCCATGGTGAAATATTAACCCTTTGCACTCCGCTGTCCCCTCTCAGGGGACATCGGAATTCTAGCATATCACTCGGATGTCCCCTCTCAGGGGACATTGCAGTTTATTAGTGATTACGGGGAGTTGAGTTATTTCAACGCAACTTTTTGAGACATGCATGTTTCCCTGAAGTTTTATCTTGAAATGGCACAAGAAATTAAATCAAAATATCGTAAAATTACTAAGATATATACGAGAAATGTCAGCGGGTTTTGTGTCGGATTAAACAATAAACTACATATTCCCGATGTGGGACAAAGAAAACGGGACTGCATTGTGTGCTCTAACAGGAAAACACCTGGTGGCAGGCGTCAAACCACTTATTACTGTCAAACATGCACTAATCAGCCTGCAATGCATATTGGGGAGTGTTACAAAACTTATCATACTGTACAAAATTATAAACAATAAAATATTGTTTTTTTTGCAAATATACATTCCTCGATGTCACCCAATTCATATAAGTCCAATATAATTATAATACGTTACTTGGTTCCAAAATTATACTAAATAATACGAGGGTCTGTAAATGCACGTTTCTGCCGCAAAGTAGCGTCGAGTAGCTGGTAGCCAATGTCCAGAATGGTTCGGAGTGCAAAGGGTTAAAGTTCTGAAAAGACCTGAGAATAACTCATGCTAAAACAGCCTTTCCAACCTCAAAAGCCAATTCAGTGTTTTTATGATATGAATTATTTTTTGGTCTCAAATCTTCTACTTTGATATATAGGCCTGACAAATTCCTTCTGTGCTGTTTTCCTAGTGATGCACACAGTAATCAATTCCTTTTTTGGAACAACGTAAAGAACTATTTCTCTTCCCTCCAGGTGTGGCCTTCTTCTCCAGGATTATTGTACAGTGAATAGCTATGCTTCTGGGCCATTCAAGATAGTTAACAGCTCAGAAGATCCTAGCCCTGGGGCTTCCTATAAAAGGGAGAAACACCTTCAAATTGGGAAATCCCTGCTAGTTTTGCCATGCTAAGCCATCACAATATCCTGAGCACAGTGGGAGCAGCTGCAACGGGAGAGGGCTCCAGATCTGTATTTCAAGCAAATATGCCAGTTGTATGGGAACATGTACAGGATGTGTTAGGTTATTTTGTCTCAGGTCTCAGAAAACGAGGCTGGTTCTTGGCTGGCAGTAAGGTGGAACTGGTATGGTATTTGAAGTTGAATTGGACACTCTCAAGTCACCATGAGACCTCATAGGAATGTGTGTGATCCAGGAGGGTTTGAATTTCCTCTTTGATGTCAGTTTTTTAAAAAGGCTGGCTTGATTTTAACAATGTTGCCAAAGCCCCCCTCTCTACCCTCACATACACAAAGAGTGCATTGTTCATGTACCCAGTGTACTCTAAATAAGACATCTAATCAGATGCAGTAACCCAGTCTTGCATAAGCCTTGGTTAGAATGTAGTTTTTTGAAACATCTAGGCCAGTAGCCAGAGCGGAATTCTTTAAATGGGACAGATGTCAAGAAAATGGCTGGTCTCCTCTAGCACCCTTCCAGAAAAAAGCAACTCCAAGATTACAATTTCCAGTGGCCTACTTTAAATAGACACTACTCTGACACACAAAATCCAAAAAATATAACTCAGTGAAAATTACAATGCATGATGGTGGCCCAGTGGTTGACTGACCTATTGAGGTGGCTTTATGATACCTTTTACATTTGTGATGGGTCTTAAAGTTAACATTGTACTTTAATGGAAGCTGCTGTGTGAAAAGGTTGTAGAATTATCAAATTTCAGAGGTTTTATATAAAAATATGGAGATACCTCAAGCACCTTAATACAGTTTTGGGGAGGAAAGCGTTCTATTAAATTTTTTTGGAGTTTATACCAGTACATAAAAAGACTTATTTTCCTTATAATAGAATATGTACTTATGGAGTGGTTAGTCTAATCTCAACTCTCAGAGAAAATGGAGTCTAGTGGTCTGTACATCTATTTCTAATTGGATTGTCTTAGGGTTTATGGATAGCAGTTTCCAACATATCTTATGGGGGTGGGAGGCAGGCTGGCCTGTGCCTGCATCAATTTTTAGGTCAGAGGGTTGGTGGGTTCAGAGCAAGGCTTGGAATGGGAGCTTATCCGCAGCATGAGCTGGGCAGGCCCAAGCCCCTTAAGGGGAGATGAGAGTAATCCCCGGCTTCTGTAGGTTGAGTCTTTAACATGTGTACCATAGTAGAGAATAAACCCCAAGTTTCATGGCTGTGAAGAAAAGAATTATCCTGTTTCTGAAACAGCTTATTCCTCAGGGTCAAGCTTGGGGGGGGGGGGGGGGGGGTGAAAAAAACAACAGGAAAAAGTATCTTTATTCTCACATTTAAAGTTTTTCTATGATGATGCATTAACAATACAAAAATATTTTGAATACTACAATGGTCCTTTTTTCTCAAAACTTCCTGCAACACTACACCAGAATACATGATCTTTGGAATCTGAGAAGCCAGTGGCTAAAGTAGGTATTAAAGGCATTTGTTGAAGGGTGTATGTGGGTACAGGGACAGCCCTTTTTCTTTGGATTCAGGCTATGTACGGTGAGGAGGCAAAAAAACAAGTTAAATTAAAAAGATTTTTTTAAAGGCTCAGGGTTGAAGCTTGGCTCATAAATGGGTTAAATTAGGCTGTGGTGAAAACCCAGTGTCTATCCCTAAAGGTTTTCTGGGCTTATTGTTTTGGTTGTAATAGTCCTCATTCCCACAGAACCATAGGAAATCTGAAGCTGGCCTCGTTTCATGCTGAAAGATATTGGCTGTCACAAAAGGTTGTGTTTGCCCTCACCACTGCCCAAGGGGTGGATAAACTGGAAATGGATCCGTAATAAAGGCCCTCAGAATGGGGAGGGATGCACACTGGATTTGGGGCCATAACTTCTTTGAACTATTGACTACAGCCACTAGTAACAGGCCTTGGGGCTTTGATATCAGGGCTTCTTAGGCGATTGAGTTTCTCAGGAATCATTTCCAAGTAATTTGAAGTAGAGAGCCAGATTAAGGTAGTGTCAGGTTTTTCTGTTGCCTAGGGTATAGATTTAAACTAACTTGTTCATCCCATCCACTTATAAGCTCCTGAGAATTCGGCAGGATTCCTCTGGCCCAGCTTAAAAATGGTAGCTAGTTTTCTGTAAAACATGGCTTTTCCAGGCCTTCAAGAGAAAAGCACTGTCATTTTGAGCTTTGTGGTTGTGACCAGGCTTACATGTGTGATAAACCAACTCATTCTTGGTCCATGAAGTGTCTGGTATGGGGAGGGTGTGGCAGTGCAGGGGGAGTGAGGAGGCAGGGTAGAGAAAGCAGCTGAACTCAGGGTAGTCCATCTATGATCTATAGCAGGAAAGGAAGGGAGGCGGGGGCATCTGGCTAACCAGACAGATGGTAAAAAGATGCAGGCTTCCACCGGCACAGGAGATGCCCTTAAATCAAATGACAACACAGATCTGATGCACCACTCGGAGCAGTTTGAATTGATGGCCCCAGGTTCAGGCAGAAGTTGTGCAGCCTCTGAAATCTCCAGCACCTGGACCCTAAGAAGAAGTTAACAGGGCCCCTGATCGGTTTCCACGTGCTTTGGGGCTCTGTTGCTGCTTCTCAAAGAGTGGGTCCCTGGAGGAGGCCAGGTGTCCTGTGCATGCTAGGCTGCCTGCCTCCGAAATTCCTGTTGCTGTACCTGTGTACTCTGCAGGGCACCGCTGGGGGGCCGTGGGGGCCCAGGGAGCTGGGAGGCTGAGTGCCGCAGAGAGACCTGGTGATGTAGGCGCCGGTTCCGCAGGGCTAGCGAGTAGTGCAGTAGGGAAGTGAGGCAGCAGGAGGTATGAGGGTGAGTCCTGAGGGGCTGGGGACCCGGAGCAGCCTAGAGTACTGTCATCGGAAGGAAAGGGGCTGGGGCAGCGGCCTTCTCCGGGTAAGTACCGAATGCATTTCTTTTTCCTCCTAGGAATAGTGAAGAGAGTTATCTGTAAATAGAGGGTGAATTCATAGTCACACACCACAACCAAAAAATGCTGTCCTTGCACAGGCCTAGCTGACCTCTCATCCCCTCTCCCCAGTACTTGGATGTGCTTATCCTTCAGACCTGAATCAGCACTGCAACTCTGCTGGGCCTGGCCCAGACCTGGGACAGGTGCAGTTTGCCAGCACCACCACATGGTGGCACAGGGACCTTTTGTAGTTGGACCTGTGGGCTGCTTTGTTTTCCAGGAGAGCCTTTGAGCCTCTGCATGTTTGTGGGGCTCAGATCAGCATTAAGACAAGGGGCTGCAATGCTTGTGGCTTCTTGGGCTGAGTAATCTCAGGGCTCAAAGCTAGGTTAGGCGTGGAGAAGGGGAAATAGAAATGAACAGTGATTCTTTGAGTCTTCTCCTACATTCTTACTATCTTGAGTTCTCTGGACCACAATTTGTCTCTGATTGTGGAATGGGTAAAAGTAGGACCTTCCCTGAGGGACAGGGTTGCCTCCCATCATGTTTATATACACACGCACACACATATTATCCAAGATCTCTATCCTTTGATAAAGAAGCATGAGGGCACTCTGAGGGGCTGCACAAATATTCCTTAGTCAGTGAACTAACTGCCTAGAGTAGTCTCAGCCTTGGCCGTATCAGGCCTGGTATGAACCTGAAACTAGGCAACTTTTAGCCACTTGATAGGCACACCTTCTTTTCATATACACAGGGATATTTTCTGTTATGAGATGAAACCTTTGTATGGTCCTTTGGCTAGGACAGCCCTCATCTTCTCTCCCTTCCTCTCTAGCCCTCTGGTCTCAGTAGGTACAAAATGGTGAGTCACTTGGCATCCAGGTTACTCATGATATTCTCAATTATAGTTACCTTATTTTTCTTAGATTTACGGGCTCAGACGGATCTCAACTTGAAGTGATGGAGCTGGTTGGCCATTATGACTTTCAGGCCTGAGAGTAGGGGCAGAGGCCACATGATGAATGGTGTGAGGTTTGGCTACTGAGGACCAGTTGGGCCTAGTTAGCACCAAACCATCATTACCTGAGGATCCTAGGCACCAGAACTACATTCTTGAGTCTGCCTTTCCTTCCCTTCTAGAACATTCTGTCTCTCCCCCTCCTTCCACTTAGATCCAAAAGATCTTCCCTACAAGATGTGTTCAGTATTCATTCCCATTCTTACGAGGCATGGGCTCTTTAATCTGCAGGTATCCTATGGGGCTGGGGAGCCACAGGAAGGCTTATATAAGCCCAGCAGAATATGTGCAGAGTCAAGGAAGCAGCTTGAAGCAAAGGGAAGATGGTGGTGGGGACAAACCCACCTGCACGGACCACACCAATCCGTCTGCTGGTTGAGGCCAAAGCGAGCACGGCATTTCTTAGGCGAGCCAGGGTCTGCTCACAGCCATGCCAGAGGGGCAGAGCAGGGCAGAGGGCGAGCAGGCAGGCAGCAGGGCAGAGCAGGGCCCAGAAAGAAGAGGTAACATCAGTGTTAGCTAGTAACAGATACCCCACAGCCCCCACAGGCAGAGGGCCTCTCCATGGCACAGCCAGCCCCAGTGGGAGCCCTAGCGCCCAGAGTCATTTGGAAAGGCGGGCACGGCACCCAATTGGGCAGAAGAGGCAGTGGTAAGAATGGTGGGGAAGAGAAGGGACCATATCAGGCTAGCTCCTTTCTATGGCTTGAGGGGCCACTTGCAGTATGGGAGCTGTGGCAGAAGAATCCAGGGATGCCCATGGGGATCCATATCCAGCCTCTTCTTCCTTAGGGCTGCCTCCACCCCAAAACTCCCTGCCATTTTTTCATTTTTGCGAATGCTCTATCTGCCTGACCCATATCTCCTTGTGCTGTAACTTAAAACATATTCCACACACTTTCTATGTGAAAGTAAAGCCCATTTTGTAACTTCAGAAAAATGGCTGAGGTCTGCCCTGCCCTGGTTGTAGCATGTGGGGACAGCACTGTTGAGAGAGTCGTTCATAAATGTGGATCAGAGTTGGGGCAGGAATCTATTCACAGGAAGGAGACTTGCAACAGTGTGTGGGCTCCCTGGGTCCTCTATATAGAGCACTTAGAACCTGCAATGAAAAACAGGGCTTGGGAGTTGGGTACAGTGTGATAGAGAAATTGCTGGGCACCAGCCAGCAGGCTGGGTGATTACTGGGCCTAGGTATGGGGCCTGGCTCAGTCTCCAGACAATCTGCTATCCACCTCAGAACTAACCAGGATGCAGTGTTTGTGTTTAACATGGATCACACTGTCAGTTCCTCACTAACTTTCCCTGACAGGCAAAGCTGTGAGTAGGGTAGGGTTAGCCAAGGTAGTGGGAGTGTGTTGGCTTCTACTGGTCACCCCTAGGACTTAGTATAGCTGTTCCTAAAGTAGGGATTTGACTTGTGAGATGCCAGGCCTTGTATACAGAGTCAAGGGCCCAGGCATTGAAGGTTCATGGCCAAGTACTCTGCCCCTCCCTCTGGGCTAGAGCAGTGATGTTTGTCACATAGGGACCTGGAGAGGAGCCTCCACTACTGTTGAGGGAAGGCCTCACCTGTGTTGGATTCTTGGTGCTTTTCTCTGGATCGCCGCTTCTTCTTCCCCTGCAGGGAATAAAGGGAGGGATCCTCAGATGTGGGAGGTGGACACTAATCCCAGTGAGCAAATGGCTGGGATACCTGCAGCCTGCTGCCTAGCCTGGCTGTCGCTAGGATTCCAGGCACAGTTTCTTGATTGCAGTTCTTGCTAGGTAATATGGGGCAATTAGGGATTCCTCCTCCCTTTCTCACACTTGTCTCCATTTTGAATGGAAGAGTAACTTCCAGGCCCTTTTCTCCCCTTCTGCTCATGAGCCCCAATCAAATACTGGGAAACAGCCCTGCATGGGAATAGATCCTGGGTAGAAAACAGGACACGGGTCTGCCTCCTGTGTCCCTTGCTTGATCCTCTCCTGAGCTAGCCACGGGAGGCCATGGACCCTCCACCAGTCCACCACCTCCCTCATCTGTGCCTTCAGGACAATATTCCTTTCTTGCTGAGACTGTGGCCCAGGGCATGGAATCTTGAAGGTTCCCCTACCCATCCCTGTGTGTTGTTGGCCACTCACGTAATTGTCCCGCGCTGACCAGCCTGGGTATAGCTGCATGTGCAGCTGCCTCTCCTTGCGGGCCAGCTCGTAATACTTGGCCTGCTCTTCCCGTGACAGTGCGTGCCACTGCAAAGGGGAAGGAGGGGCAGATGGGATGTGTAAGGCAATCATCAGGCTTGTACCACCCCTGCCAGCCCACCTTGCCTGTGGCCTCACCCTGCGGCCCAGGATCTGATTGATGGCAGCACTCTCCTTGAGTGTGCATTCTGCAATAACCTTGGCTCTCATCTCCTTCATGTACAGCATGAAGGCATTGAGTGGCTTCTTGATGGTTGGTTTCTTGGCCTCCTTCTCTGCTTTGGATTCTGCCTGCGTCTTCCTGAGGAGCACATGTCCAGATCACTTGGGAGTCCCCACATGCCCACCTAATGCTACCACCCTGTAGTGTGTCCATTGCATGTGTAAGTGCATGGATACTAGAGGTTTTTTAGTGAAATTCTGTTTTGTGTGTGTGTGTGTGTGTGTGTGTGTGTTTTTCTTAGCTGCTCCAAAATGGGTGACCAGAGTTAAGTATTTGTTCCTTATAGGAATATTGCAGCTAAGTAAGAAAAATATGTGTAAGGACTTCTCAGCCCCTCCCATCTTGGCTCAGACTAAAGCCTTGTTTCTCACTCCACCCAATCCCTCCTGCTTCAGAGCCTCAAAAAACAGTGGCCCGTGGCAATAGCTACAAAACAGTTTGACCAAAGGCTTCCTCTGGCAGCAGGACTTGGGCTTGGTGGAAGAAATGTGTATCCTGGCTGACAAATAGATGGGAATCTGAAGTCTGCTCCCCCCGCCCCCCCGCTCCTCCCCACTCTGTGCCTTTTCACTCACAGGCTTCGATCATAGGGCTGCAGTTCCTGCTTCCCTGAGGGGGGCACAATGGCCGGGTGGGGAATGGCTGCTGGGTGACCAGGTACGCTGGAACCTAGCATCAGGGATGGGTGGGTGAACCTAGAGGCAGGAGGAAGTTAACACTGAGTCAGGTGTGTGCAGGACAGACCCTGGCAAACACAGAGGCCCTGCACATTAAACGACAGGTGAACAGATACCCCACCCTCATTGCTTGCATACAAGTACACTGATACATACAAATACCTGCTCCCAACACATCACAAAGACATCATTGCAAAAATCTATATATTCATCGTTTAGGTAGTTACTAAATTAAGCCCTACATAGCTTTTGAATCTCTCCCCTTGTCACCACCTGCCCTCTCCAGCTCAGCCTCATGAGCCTGTGACTACCCTGTGTGCTTCCTCATTCTCCTGACTCTTCTAGGACTCTCTCCACACAACAGCCAGAATGACCTTTTAAAAACACCTGTGTGCTCCTGACTGTTCTTGCTGAAATTCTCCCTTTGCCTACAGCCCTGCTGACATTTCTAGCCCCATCTTTTCCCCCATTTCCCATCACTTCCCACTTCCAGCCATCCCCTACTACTCAGGAGATGTTAACCCTTTTTATGAAGCTCTCTGTGACCCATCAAATCTGGCTGAGGTCTCCTTGGGGCTTCCCCATCACCCACAGGGCATAGCCCAATTCAATTGCTGGTGTGCTGTCTATACCTCCTACCCTAGGCGGTGAGCTCCATGGGCTGAAAATGTCTGAATTCCTTGTTCCATACTTAGCATACATCTGTCACTAAGGGAGTGAGCTAAATAAAGGGGCTTACATATACACACGCCTCCCACTTTACTTTCTTGCTGTTGTATGGCTACCACTCTGCCTCTTGCTGCTTACACTGGTGTAGGGCAGGGGTCCTCAAACTTTTTAAACAGGGGGCCAGTTCACTGTCCCTCAGACCGTTAGAGGGCTGGACTATAGTTTAAAAAAAAACTATGAACAAATTCCTATGCACACTGCACATATCTTATTTTGAAGTAAAAAAACAAAACGGGAACAAATACAGTATTTGTATTTGCATGTGGCCCGCAGGCCGTAGTTTGAGGACCCCTGGTGTAGGGTCTCTGAGCAGGCCAGATGTTGAAGACACATGTGAAATGCTGCCTCAGCTTGGGTGGAGCTCTGTTCTGCCCAGGGATGCAGAACAGAGATGAATGCATACAGACCTGCACACGGACTGACTTGCACATGCACAGAGGCAGGAGCTCAAGCACACATGTGCATGTACTGTCCCTGGCTGCTTTGTGGTGCTGTGCTGCACAGTTTGGCCTGGGTTTAGAACTCTTGCAGTCCCATTGGCTTCATTCTCAGACACAGGGCAGCAAGGTGCTGCAGAATGACAGACAGACGGATGAACAGACGACTAGCACAGGGCAAGCAGTGGCCTGAACATGGCCTTGTGTGGGCATTGAAGCCTGGGCAACAGAAAGCAGGAGCCTGGCTGCAGGGTAGGGGACTCACCTGGGATAGGGGGCGCCAGGGGCTGCAGTGGGGGCAGGGAAGTGCTGTCTATATCCGCAGGAAGGGGACAGGGGATAGAGAGGAGGGCTGGGCCTGTGGTTGGGAAAGACAGCTGTTAGCAGTCTGGCTACTGGCTCTATATGGGGAAGGACTTCCCTCCATGCTCAGGCCTGACCCATAGATGAGAGACAAATTGGCTTCTGCTTGGACCACTCCAATGTGTGCTTTAAGCATCTGCCACCAGAGGGCAACCTGTGCTGCACCTATTTTCCTCTACAGCAGTGGTTCTCAACCTTCCTAATGCCGCGACCCTTTAATACAGTTCCTCATGTTGTGGTGACCCCCAATTTCATTGTTACAAATTGAACATAATTAAAGCATAGTGATTAATCACAAAAACAATATGTAATTATATATGTGTTTTCTGATGGTCTTAGGCGACCCCTGTCACAGGTTGAGAACCGCTGCTCTACAGGCTAGTACTGGTGCTTAAGGGCCGCTGCTCTACAGGCTAGTACTGGTGCTTAAGGGGTAGAAATGACAGCATTCTTTGGGGAGCCAGCTCAGCAGGCCCCCAGGTGTCAGTACAGGATTGATATCTGTCCTAGGGCCTTTGCACTTACTGTCGACACTGTCAGGATTGTTCTCCTGCTCACGACACTGTCAGGATTGTTCTCCTGCTCACTTTGCCTGCTTCAGCTCCTGGTCATCCTGGGTTCCTACAGTCCTGTCAAAGCACTGCTAACAGTGCCTTGTAATTGGCTGGCCACTTGTCTGGGTTGTGCACTAGTTAAGAGTGAATTCTGTGAGGAGGGGGACCTGAGGATCAGCAAGCTTCAGCAGTGCTTTTCTGGTGCCCAGATCCTTGCCTGGCAAGTTCAAACCTGAGGGTACTCATGGAGGTAGTCATGGTTTGTATTCAGAGTGGAACTCTGTCCAAGGAGAATCTAGAAATGGAGGAATCAGCTTAACTTGGATGAAGGGCAAGTAGAAAGGGACAAGTGGGCCTCTAGATTGGGCCTCGGGACCTACCCTGCCTTCCTGGGAAGCCAAGCTTTCCTGATGTTAAGTGATTGCCCCAGGCCAGAGAGGCTAAAGACCTGCCCAAGTCACACTGTGGTTGCTGAGCAAAGGGCCAATTAGCCTGCCAGACCCAACTCAAGCCGAAGACAGGCCTTTTGGCCCACAGTTGGGCCTACTGACTTGGGGTCCAGGCTGGCTTTTCCTGGCCCAGCCTAAATAGGCTCTCCAAGCAGACTGGCCCAGGGCTTAGGCTCAAGCAGGCACAACTGAGGCAAGGAGGGACCCTGGCCCTCAAGCAACTCAGCCAAGGAAGGGTCCAGCCAGCAGTAGGCATTGAGGTGAGTGGGAAGTATCCTCCTGCCCACCAGGTAGCTGAGAAGCAACAGCCTCGCTTATGGCCATTCATGCTGTTATCTCCCTGTTCAGGCCTACCTTTTCTTCCTCACATAGATGGCCCTGAACAGTCCAAGGTTCTCTCATTCAAGTCTCAGACAGTGAAGCAGAGTTCAAGGGCGACAGGGCTGGGACCGTAGCCTAGTCTCCAGTCTTGCCAAAGGGAATATGTCAGGCTACCTGAGGAATGATAGAGCTGCTGGCCAGCTCTGGTATGTATATAGAACTGGCAGCAGGGTGCTCAGCACAGGATGGGAAAAAAAGGGCAGGTAAGAGTCTAAATCAGGAGGTGCCCCTTTCCCATTGGGCCCACACTCACCAGCTCACAGTGTGGGGGAGCTGTCCCATGCTGCCTGAGGTCAGAGAGTAGAAGCCAGAGAGGTCAGAGGTCTGCAGAGGCCTGTGAACTGCAGTGGAGAGGGCCGAGTAAGTGAGCTAGCCTGACTTGGAGGTCACTTTAGCTAGTTACTGCATTCTAGAGCTTCCTGTGGGGGGCTTCTAAGATCCCACCTTCCATGTTAGGGTACCACACATATGGCTTTGTTCGGGACTACCCCAGTGTGATAACAGTGCTGCATTTACAAGCTAGGGAACCAAAGGCAGAAGGGCTGGGTGACTTGACTGAGGACACTGGCTGGTCAGTGGCAGAGTTGGAGTCATTCAGGAATGGGAGGCCAGGCCTTGCCACTGATAGTCTGCAACTGGGGCCTCTACTGCCCCCTCCCCCCGAGTCTGGGGGAACCTGGCCTGTGGAGCCAGGGTTTCGAGCACCCCCTTTGAGTCAGCAGGTTTCCCACAGTCGACAGTGGCTGATTTCAGAATGACTTTGCCTGAGGCTGAGGTGAATCAGCCATCACAACCACCACTTTCCATTTTCTCACTGGGGGAGGGAACAGCTATAAGTGTTATAATCAGCTTTACACAAATGCCTGCTCTCATACTGGCATTGGGAGGTCACTCAGGATTTAGGTTTCTACCTCAACTTGAAGCCTTCAAATTCTGACCTGGCACCACCTCCCCCAGCCCTCTGGTACCTCCAAGGTCCCCTGATCCACTTTTCTGGCATCTAGGAGGGCCCCGATTTTGCACAGCACTAGGTTCTCTAGTTGTAAAAAAGGATCCAGCCACCTGTCTCATTGGGCCCCTCCCCATCCCAGATTTGTACCTTGCTTCTGGTTGATGTCGGCCGGTGCAGGTGTGGGGTGTGGACTGCTGAAATGTTCATAGAGAGGAGAGAGTTGGGGGACGCCATGGGCAGGCTGACTGGCCTTGTTGTGCTGAAAAAATGAGGAGGATGGGTGATTGTGGGGAGACCTGAGGCAGGAAGGCACAGGGCTTGGGGCTATAGCTGTGTGTGGGGGCAGCCCAATTGTCAAAGGAAAATGGGGGTGGTCAAAACCACAGTCCTCATAGGAGGGGGTACCACTCAAACCAGGCAGTGTCCAGTGATCCAGCCCTCCTGCCCACCTCCCCCTCCCCAGACTCTGCCCAAGCTATCCCACCTCGTAGAGAGTGTGCACTCAATTCCAGGAGGCATATCTCCCCTGTCCACGAAATTCTTGCTGCCTCCCAGTTTCAGAGATCCTCCGGTTTCTGAGGCCCTATGACTTGCTCACAGCCTCTAGGTCCATACATCAGGATATGGTCTGAGGAGCTGACCTACCCTAGCAGCTTTCTTTCCTCCTCCAGCACCCAGACTAGGGGTCCTGACTTTGACCTTCTGTACCACCTCAGGCTTAATAGGATTTGTTGACACAGGCAAGAGCCCCCGCTCAGCCCTCTAACTCAGGGGAGGGGCTAAGTGGGGCCAGGCTTCCCCCAGGGCCAACCCACCCAACCCCACACTTCCTGTTTGCTCACACCACAGGACTCTTACTTTTCATACTAGTCACATGGATCTGTCATGAGATGACTCAGTCAGGCTGAGATGGGGGCTCCCCATGCGACCCAGGCACAGGGAGTTGTTGCTCAGGGCCAAGGCCCAGCTCTGCATATCCTGAGCACACATCTGTACGGGCCAAGGCTCTGGAGACATCATCTACAACTGAGGCCCAACTTCCACTCAGGAAAGTCCATCTGTGGGGATGCTGGGAGCACTGATGAGTGACTTCTGATCCATGGCACAGAAGGAATGGGACATCTCTGGGGCAAGACAATAATGAGAGGTTGTGGCCCTGTGGGTGAAATCTCCCACTAGTGGAATTTAGCCAGACTCCTTAACATCTCGGCACAGGTCTCTTAGCACTGGCTGTTGGGGTCCAGGGTGAGGCTACAGGGAAGATGGGGTATGAACTGCATAGAGTCAAAGTGTGAGTTTACCAGGTGGGCACAGGCTCCCATACTTCCCAGCAACAGTCCTGGCCTCCATCTTTCCTACATTCCTGCCTCCATGGAAGCTTGAGGCTGGGCTATAAACTGCAAACTTCCCTCAGGGCTTAGGGAAGGTATTGTCACTGCCACCTATCAGTCTCCTGCTCATCTGCCCACCAGGAGCAACCTTACATCCCAGAGCTAATTAGCCTTCTTTTTGTCCTCAGGCAGACGGGTAGATGTCCCAATAGCAGTGGCTCCTCCTTTGCATATGGCGTATATATGGCATCATAGCACCTTCCTGAGTTCGATGCCCTACCTCTGACTGGAGCCTTCCTGGCCTCCTTGGGCAGGGCAGGTGAGCCTCCCTGTGTCACTCCCAGGGAGGGCTCTCTGCTGTGAACTTGAGGAAGAGTGGGCCAACCATGTTCAGATCCTTTTTCTAACATGTGTGGCCTTCAAGAACTTATTACAATATCTGACCATACATTTCCTTGTAAAATGGAGATGATCAGAGGGTTGTTGTGAGGATAAAACCAGACAATACCCAAGAGCTCAATTACTTAGTTGTCAGGCAATGAGGAAGGGACATGTAGGAAGCCCCTTTTTCATCCTACAGAGCCTTCACAGGTGCAGAGGAAATGCTACTCATAGTGCTTCCCTAGCCCTCTGGTGCTGGTCCCCACACAGGCCAGACACTTAGGCCTGATATGCCAAGTGGGGGTGGAGGGTTGAGGGGAGGCGAGTGTTGCCTGGAGATGGCAGGCATGCCTGGCAGCCCACTGGCAGCATCACCTGGGGAGGGTAATGATAGCACCATTCAGTCCCCAGGCCTTGGGTGCTGTGACTTTCCTGTTGCTGTTCTGAGGCCAGGTTTCCTGGGGGAGTCTTGTGCCAATCTCAGGCTTTCTTTTATTTCCAGCACTGAGCTCAGACACAACTGTGACTGTTTGGGAGTATGTGTGGGAATGGAAGGTGGGATGTAGGATCATCGGGTCTGCAGGTGGCTGGAAAGAGGAGTGGGCTGGGACAGCTGTGGGGTATGTGGATGCATGTGAAATCCTTCATATACTGAGTACCAGTCACAGGCCAGGCACTATGCCAAACACTTTGCAAGCCCAGTCTCATTCCTATCAGGGTACCCACTGGCTCTCATTTCTCACATCTGTAAATCCTCCCCCAGCTACTACCTCATGTTTCAATCCCCCTTTTATTGAAAACCTCAACAGATCTGTCCACATTCACTTGTCCAGTTCTCAGCTCTCATCCTCTCTTCAACCTAGCTAGTCTCTTGTCCTATCACTTCGCCAGATGACTGTTGCCAAGATCTCCATGACTTCCATGTTGCTGATCTTAGTGGTCACTTCTCAGTCTTCATGTTATCTTCATGTCATCTCAGCAGCATTGGACACACTGATCTCTTCCTCCTCCTCGAAACAGTTTCTTCATTAGTCTTCCACAGTGGAATTCCACACTTACCTGATTTTTCTCCAACTTCACAGGCTATTCCTCAGCTTTGGTTCCATCTCATTCTCTTCTTGACCCAAAATTGGCCTTCAGCTCACTCCCAGGGTGCTCTCATCCATGGCTTTAAGCATCTTCATCTGATGACTCCACATTTATATCTCCAGTGCTAACTTCTCCTAGGAACTCCCCTCTCCAAATGCTTACTCATAAACTCTACTCAGAGGTCTAAAATGCTACCCAGACTCAATATGTCCAAAGCAAAACCTTTGACTTTCTGCCCCAAATGCTCCTTTCCATCTTCCTCAATTAATGGCTACTCCATTCTTCCAGATGATCAGACCAAATACCTTGGAGTCATCCTTGACTCTTCGTTTTCTCTCACACCCATATCCAGTTTGTCAGCAAATCCTAATGGCTCTACTTTCAAAATATACCTAGAAAACAACCATTTCCTCCTGATCCCCCACCAAGTCCATGCTACAGCCACTTCTCACCTGGATGACTGCAGTAGCCTCCTGCCCCCTCAGCCAGGCCTCCATCTGGCAGCCACATAAATCAGATCACATCCTCCTCTGCCTCAAGCCTCTAATTGCCTTACCTGGGCCTACAAAGCTCTACACGATTAGGCCCCCTCTCCATCTCTAACCCTATTACCTTGCCCTCTCTTCCTCACACTCTATGCCAAGGACTTCCCATAGGTACTTCGGCCTCCAACCTCCTTCTCTAGTTACTCCAGTGATAATTTTTTGTTGTTGTTTTAAATATATTTTATTGATTTTTAAAAAAATATATATTTTATTGATTTTCCACAGAGAGGAAGGGAGAGGGACAGAGAGCTAGAAACATCGATGAGAGAGAAACATCAATCAACTGCCTTCTGCACAATATGTCCAAAGCAAAACCCAACTGGGGATGTGCCTGCAACCAAGGTACATGCCCTTGACTGGAATCGAACCTGGGACCCCCTAGTCCGCAGGCCAACGCTCTATCCACTGAGCCAAACCGGTCAGGGCTTATTGATTTTTTACAGAGAGGAAGGGAGAGGGATAGAGAGTTAGAAACATCGATGAGAAAGAAACATCGATCAGCTGCCTCCTGCACACCTCCCACTAGGGATGTGCCCGCAACCAAGGTACATGCCCTTGACCAGAATCGAACCTGGGACTTTTCAGTCTGCAGGCCGACGCTCTATCCACTGAGCCAAACCGGTTAGGGCTCCAGTGATAATTTTTAAGTGTACCATGATGTGAAGTGAGTGAGTTGGGAAGCTCATCTCAAGGCTTACTGACCTTTTACTGATCTTTTCACTATGGGATCCTGGGCCAGTTTGCCCCTTGTAAAAGAAGGATGAGAATATCAGCCCTGCCTACCTCACTGGTCACAGATGCAAAAACCCGGCTTTATAAAATTTTTAGGAGCTGGAGCCGAGGGCTTATGAAGGTAGGAAGCTTCCTGGAAACCTCTGGGGCCTTTTGATCCTGATAGGTTCCTAGGGTAGTGGTAGCCAGACAGCATTAGCCCTGACTAGGCTTCATGAAAGTCAGGAGACTGAGCCTCAGGGTTTACTCCCTCAAGAACCTGGGACCCTGGTGGCAGTCATTCCACCATTCACTGCCTGAGAGCACAAATGCCTGGTGCCCTGGCCCAAAGGGTGGAATGGACACCCTCTACACCACAGGGGACTTTTGAGTCTAAGATCTTGCTTCCGAGAAGACCCTGACATCTAGCCCTGGCTCTGGCGCTTTGGCACTCAGGGCTGTAAGCCTGGCTTCTGGGTGAGCAGTGGGAAGTCTTAGGAGCAGAGCCTAAGACTTCCAAGGTGCCAGCTCTAGGAAGAGAGTTCCAGAGTCCCACTCTGCCTGGTTGGAGCAAGGTTGGGGCGGAGGGGTGTTGGCTCCACAGCAAGCTTCTGGGCAAACCACCCTCCCTGAGGAGGGCTAGAGCTGACCCGCCTTGGCCAGGCTGGTTAAGCCCTAGATTGCAGCACAGCTCAGGCTAGGCCTAGGAAACCACAGAATTCAGCTCAGCCTACAGCCTCTGGCCTAGTATGTATGTGTGTGACAGGAGCAGTGGGGTGGGGCGTGGGGCGTTGCCTGGTGGACAAAGGGTTCATCCTGTCTACCAGCCTTCCCTGGGAACTAGGGAAAAGCCTCATTAAACAGGAGCCTGCAGCCAAAGCACAGGAGAAGTGCCAGGTGGGCAGGGGTAGGGCAGAGCCTGCCAGCAGCTGGAGGCCCTGAGGTGGCCAGGGCTCCAGGGTAGGGCATTAAGGGCCTGGCCAGTCCTTCCCACGTTCATGCAGGCTGCCCTTCGGCTTCACTCTCCAACCCCCTCCATGCCTAGTGGTGGTAGCCAGGGGGAGCTGTCTGGCACAGGGCCCAGTGTCTCATACCCTTTTCAGCCAGTGGAACGTCCCGCTCCACGGCCTCAGCACAAGGTTGTCCCAGGGCCAGGCTGCCCAGACAACAGGGTGGGGTTGCCTGAGGCTTGGTGTTGTGTA